CCATTTCCTCCAGATTTTCAAATTTGTTGGCCTATAGTTGTTTATAGTAGTCTCTAATGATACCTTGTATTTCTGAGGTGTCAGTTGTAATATCAACCTTTTCATTTCTAATTTTGTTATTTGGGTCTTTTCTCTTCTTTTCTTAGTTAATCTTGCTAAAGGATTGTGGATTTTATTTATCTTTTCAAAAAACCAACTTTTGTTTCATTGATCTTTTGTATTGTTTTTCAGGTTTCTATCTCATTTAATTTTGCTCTGATCTTAATTATTTCTTTCTGTCTACTAACTTTAGGTTTGGATTATTCCAGTTTATCTAGATCTTTAAGGTGAAGTGTTAGGTTGTTTATTTGCCATCTTTCCATTCTTCTGAAGTAAGCATTTAATGTGATAAATTTCCCCCTAATACTGCTTTTGCAGTATCGCCCAGGTTTTGGTATGATGTGTCATTATTTTCATTAGTTTCAAGAAATTTTTTGATTTCCTGTTTAATTTCTTCTTGGACCCATATCTCATTAAGTAAGATGTTGTTTAATTTCCATGTGTTTGTATAGTTTCCAGAGTTTCATTTGTTATTGATTTCTAATTTTCATCCATTGTGATTGGAAAAAACACATGGAGTAATTCCAATTTTTTGAATTTGTTGTGACTTGCTTTGTGACCTAACATGTGGTCTACCCTGGAGAATGTTCCATGTGCTGATGAGAAGAATGAATATTCTGAGGTTGTTGGATGGAATGTTCTGTAGATATCTGCCAAGTCCAATTGGTCTAAAGTATCATTTAGATCTTGTGTTTCTCTATTGATTTTTTGCCTAGATGATCTGTCCAATGATGAGAGTGGGGTGTTCAGGTCCCCTGCTATTATGGTGTTAGTGTCTGTCTCTTTCTTTAGATCAAATAGTGTTTGCTGTGTAAATCTGGCTGCTCTGACATTGGGTGTGTATGTATTTATGATTGTTATGTCTTCTTGATGGATAGATCCTTTTATCATTATATAGTGGCCTTCTTTATCTCTTTTTATGGTTTTTGCTTTAAAGTCCATTTTATCTGATATAAGAATAGCTACTCAAGCTCATTTTCATTTCTGTTTGCATGATATATCTTTTTCCATCCTTTCACTCTTAGTCTATGTGTGTCTTTACAGGTCAAGTGAGTCTCTTGAAGACAGCACATTGCTGGGTCCATCTTTTTAATCCAGTCAGTCAATCTGTGTCTTTTGAATGGGGAATTTAATCCCTTTACATTTAGAGCTATTATTGAAAGGTATTGACTTACACCTAGTATTTTACTGATTTTTGTTTAGATGTCTAAAGTATCTTTTGTTCCTTTCTTTCAAATTTTCTGTTTGTCTTCCATATTTGTTGGTTTCTTGGGATGATGGATAAACTATTTTTTTTCTCTTTCATTAGCATTTTTGTTTTGCTGATAGGTATTGTTCTTTCCTGAGTATTCATGGCAATGATGGTTGTTTTTGTGGTATCAAACCCAGTACTTCCTTAAGAATTTCTGGTAGGGCTAGACTTGTGGTAGTGAACTCTTGCAGTTTTTGTTTGTCTGAGAAATATACTATTTGTCCTTCATTTTGGAAGGATAGCCTTGCCAGATAAAGTATTCTTGGCCGGCAATTTTTATCCTTTAGTGTTTCAAATATATCATCCTATTCTTTTCTGGCTTTTAGGGT